GCTGGTCTTGAACTCACAGAGATCCACCTGCCTCTGCTTCCTGAGTGCTGGGACTAAAGGTGAGCTCTACCACTGCCCAGCTTTTTTTTTTGAGTCAGAAAAGGTCCAGTGAGATGGCTCAGTGGATGATGGTACCAAGACTGGTATCCTGAGTTAGACCCCTGGTCCCACATGGTGGAAAAAGAGAATCAACTTCCTGAAATTGTCCTTGGACCTTCACACACACACCAAGTCATATGAACACCATAAACATACACATGTCCACAAATAAGTAAAATGCAATAAATATGTGTAGGGTGGCACACACCTTTAATCCCAGCATTCGGGAGGCAGAGGCAGAAGGATCACTATAAGTTCGAGGTCAGGCTGGTCTACAGAGTGAGCTCCAGGACAGCCAGGGCTACACAGAGAAACCCTGACTCAAAACAAACAAACAGAATAAAATAGCATTCTTACAGAAAAAGAAAAAATAACAGCAAATACAAAGCCAGCCCACAATCCCTACGTGGTATTAGCAGTCAAGATCAAAGGAAACTTGGGGGTACAGAGGGGCAGAGACCCAGGGCCATTCAGGGACCCTGAGAAGGTTGCCCTGCAGAAGAAGCAGCTGCAACTCTGAGGCCTAAGATTCTGCAGGAAGGCGTGGCCTAACAGTGTTTGGGGTCCTTCTGCTCCCCTCCCTTTTTCTCACTTGGCCTCTGACCCTTTCCCACCCTAGAGTTCTGTCAACAGATGACTGCCTGACTTGGGGTGACGTGGCCCAGCCAGCTCCAAAGCGGCTAGGAGCTGAACTGTGTAGGTTTGCCCTTGATCCAGGATGGCTATTGGCTGCCCCCAAGTGGCGACTAGGAGAAGTACAGGGGATGTGTGGATGCCTCACCTCTGCAGATTCACTGTGATCCCTTCAGTGGAGGTTCTCACCCCTTTATTTTGGGGGTCTTGAATTTTGTGCAGCAAATTATCATATAGGAAGGGTCATCCAGATCTCATGGGCCCGAAGATGGGATTGCAATCCCAGTGCTGGGGTGCTAAGGGAGACAAATGGATCCCTGGGATTCACGGGCTGAATCAGCTGAGATCCAGACTAATGAGAGACTCTGCCTCAAAACACAAGGTGGACAGCAGCAAGGAACAATACATGGAGCTGCCCTCTGCCCTCTGATTGCACACACTCACACACTCACACACACACACACACACACACACACACACACACACGCAACGCACACACAAATGCACACACATATGCACACACACAAACACACATATGCAAATATACACACACATACACAAAAACACATACACACACACAAATGCACACACATATGCACACACACAAACACACATATGCAAATATACACACACATACACAAAAACACATACACACACACAAATGCACACACATATGCACACACACATACACACACGTACACACAAACACACATATGCAAACAAATATACACACTCACATACACAAAAACACACATACACACACACACACACACACACACACACACACACACACACACCTGTGTGTGTGTATCTCTATAGGCTAGAGGTTGATGTTGGTGGCTTCTTCAATCACTTTCCGAGACTGGGTCTCTTGCTGGACCTGGAAGCTCCTAATTCACTAGAGTAGCTGACCAGCCAGCCCCAGGAATTCTCCTGCCTCTGCCTCCTTGGCCCTGGATTACAGGTTTATGTTGCCACTCCTGGATTCTAGGGACTGAACTTGGGTCCTCATGTTGTGCATAAAGGATGTGCTGACTGGGCCTTCTCGCCCCAGCACTGTCTCCCACCCGGGCTGGAACTTAGTATGTAGAGCGGGCTGGGCTTGAGCTCACAGAGATCCACCAGCCCTGCCTCCCAAGTGCTGGAGCTAAAGGTGTGCGCCACCATGCCCAGTCCTGACAAAAGATTAATGCTTAATACATAACAATAAAAAGATCAGGGCTCTTGTCCTCACTGGACACTGCGAGTACTTTTTCCTCAGCCAGGTTGGGGCAGGGCCTCTGCTGGTCAAGTCTACTAGTCCTTATGTCATATAACCAGAACAAAATACCTGAGCTAGAATGGATCAACATTTACGCTGGCTGTTTTAATGAGAGCACCGGTCTTGGGTCACCTCACTGTCACATTGGATGAGGACCCAGTAAGTGCTGAGAGCCGCAGATGTAGCCGGTGTGGGTGAATGCTGGGCTGGTGTCTGCTGGTCAAGGTACCAGAGGCTGCCTCAGCTTCCTCAGAGGGACAAAGGGTCATTAACACTGAGGAGGCTTGTTTATTAGTTTACTCTTTTCTTTCCACCTAAAAGTTTGAGCTTTTCTATTAGTGCTACAAGTATGCATCATGGTCTGCTTCTCGTGAAGGTTTTGAGCAGATGGAACACATTCTATGAAAACCCCTATCACAACCCTGTCTACTAATTCTAAACTCTGAGTCAGTCCTGGGTCAGTTTCAACGGGCTGTTCTTTCTCTCATTAGTGGCCATATTCCCTTGCTGTTGGATTTGGCAGTCTCTGAGTGGATACCAGAAAATACGATTTTTTCCTTTGTTGTGGGCTTCATGCTGCCTTTGTGTTCCGTTTTTTTTTTTTTGGGGGGGGGGATGTGGTGGAGTTATTTGGTAATACTTTGACCCTTGCAGGCCCTGTTTTTATGATGTTAGGGGGCCCTAGGCATTGTTCAGGGCAGTTACTGGAGGCTAGACCTTTCTCAACACTCTACCCAGTGCTATGTGCACTAAACTTTTTCACCTGTTTCCAGTCCCTGCCCTTTTTAGGACTGCTGAATTTGCTGAGTAGAGCTACTGCAAATTTCTGGGGTTTTCCTTGGCCACTTTCTCCTTACTGGCACTCTGGGTGTGCTCCATCTCTGGCCACTAAAGAGACCTTCAGGGTTCAACTCAACACACACAGGTGCAGCTCTCAAAGCTAAAACACAAACAAACCACCCTTGTACACAGGCCTCATGGCCTTCCAAGGGCAGTGGCTATGGTTCTTGTTTCTGATGCACAGAAAGGGTCTAGTGGAAATTCCAGACACAATGCCCACACCTGCTTTCCCAGGCGTGAGGAGGGTTTCAGCAGACCTCATGACAGTCCTGGGAAGGTGTCGGGTGCGCGTGGCAGGGAGGGGAGAGCTCTCCCCAAGATCATTTAACTGGGTGTGCACACCTGAGGCACCAGTCTGCCCAGAGAGACATCAGGTGCACAGTTCTACAGATAAGCGAGACAAGCGGTCCCTATGTGAAGAATGTAACGGTAGGAAAACCAACAGTGTAGACTGGGAGTCTTGTGTCCGGGCTGGTTTGCAGCCTCTTCAACAGGGGGCTGCCTGAGCGTTAGGGGCATTTTCCTCCTGGTTTTTAAAGATTTTATTTGTTATGTAGACAGTGTACTGCACCCTCTGGGCAGACTCACAACACTGGGCGGCCGGATGCCGTGCTGGCCAGAGCAGGAGAGGGCAGGGCCTGGGTGGAGACGCCGCAGGGGAGCGCGCCGGCCCGGACGCCTGGCTGGTCTCGGCGGTTCCCACTGGACTGCCGCTCTGCTGACACCCGTGCCCGCCTCCCTCCGCCGCGACTGGCGGCGGCTTCCGGCGGTGGGCGGAGCCTCTCCTGCTATGGGCGGAGCCTGGGGCGGAGCCCCGCCTTGGTAGGGTAGAGCCAGGCTCCAGTGTCTGAGCTTTGTGCGGAAGAGCCGGGGCTTCTTTGCACCGGAAGCGGAAGAAAAGACTCCCAAGCCGGCCTCCGGAACGGTGGATACGAGCATCGTGACCCGGAAGTATTCACCACACGCACCGCCCCTCCCGCCCAAGAGAGCTGCCTGGGGAC